CTTAATAGTTTACTTGTTCTTAATGCTGTACCAATTATTTAACTTCCTATTCTTAAACATATTTTAACATCATTAATCTGAGTCCCTAGGAATTTATTTGTTGAATGCATATGAATCCCTCCTTCATGTTTAATTTGTAAATAGTTAGCAGGATGCATCACTTTTATTTCCTTTAAATTTGCTTAAATTGCACTATTATGATTCAATAGACTTATAATTAATTTATTGGTAAACTATCATTCCCAGTAGGAATAACAAAAAGTCAACTTTTGAAAGAATCGATATAAAATTATTAGAATTAATTATGGTGAAATATTCAAGTATATGGAAGACATAGTTATTTAATAAATGCCTATTGAAAGATGCTTCAAAGTTTGTTACTTTTGGGCTGGGGATGTGGCTCAAGCGGTAGCGCGCTCGCCTGGCATGCGTGAGGCCCAGGTTCGATCCTCAGCACCACATACCAACAAAGATATTGTGTCCGCTGAGAACTAAAAAATAAATATTAAAAATTCTTTCCTCTCTCACTCTCTCTTTAAAAAAAAAAAGTTTGTTACTTTTTTTCAAAAAGAGCAAAATGAATAGTTCATTCTTATATTAAAAAGAGAAAATATGAATTAGCTACTTGGTGGCAATTTATATATACAAAATCTTTCAGTTAAGACCATGTATGTTAAACTTACAAAATATTCATTGTAAATTATGATTAAAAAATAATTAGATGTTTTAATAAAAGTATAGAAAGATTATCAATACTAAGCTTTTCCTTTGCCAGAATGAATCCAAACTCAGTAAACTCCATAGGCTATGGTTGTCCCAATCTTTTCATGTTTTTGATTGCAAGAGCCTATTATAAGAGATAAATATGGTACTAGCTTTGATTTTCTTCCTTAGGGATGTAAGTAAAACTTCGCATTCTCATAAGCTTCTTGTTTTAATTACAGTGTAAAAACACTGTGTTTCATATAATAGGAAGACATTTAAAATGAGATTAGTTTTACTATCTCAAAAATGTGGGTTGAAGCATTAAATAGGATAAATGGAAAACACATATACATCCTACATGTTTTGCTTTTGACTCAAAGAACTCCATTCAGTGAATATATTTTTAAATAAGCATCTCAGAGTAGCAAAAATTTGCTCATTTCAAACTATAAGCAATGCTTTTTAAAACTGACCTTGAAATGGAATATCTGTTTGAAAAGTAAACAGATGTGTTATAGTAAGCTCTTCTCAACCGTTATTTCCTAAAGGGATAAATAAAACTTTCCCCCAAACTGCAACAATGCAAATTGTTTTTAAAGATTGAAGCTTGCTTAGCAAGCTGATAATACAGGCTCATTAGGTAAATTGCCTTAAGTGTACCTTACTCCTATAACAAAAACAAAAGTTACTTTTAGATTACAACGACTTTTTTTATATGTCTATGTATGGGGAGTACATATTGAGAATGATGGCTTGCAAATTTTCCCAAAGGATTTTTCCTGAGGATTGTTTTGTATCTATGGCTCAACTTAGGTTAACATATAGATATACAATCAAAATAAGATGAGCACTTAATTGTCAAATTGTCAATGATAGCTCTATATTCATTGCTATTAGAAGGTAATCCTTGGGGCTGGGGTTGTGGCTGAGGGGTGGAGTGCTTGTCTAGCAAGTATGAGGCACTGGATTAGATTCTCAGCACTGTGTATAAATAAATAAAATAAAGGTCCATTGACAACTAAAAAAAAGAAATTAAAAAAAATTAAAAAGAAATCAATCCTCTCACAGTTCCTAGTGGATTCCTAATACCACTTCTATAACAAGTGTTTGAAATTTTACCACCCTTTCCAGTTCTTTGGTCCTCATGTCAGAAATTAATTCTGCATCTTGGTTCCTTTAGAAAATATAATCAGAGAAAATATCTTAATTTTTTTCTTAATGATTTATCCACCATTTCATTTTCTATTCTTTCATCCTCGGAGCAAATGCTCTTATATTTTTGTTTAGGTTTGCATTGCATCAACAAGAGTACTCGGACAAACTCTTCTTCCATTTCCATCTCCTTCTCAGGCATCTTGACTCTCTCCAGAGTCACCTTTCTTTCAGCATGCACATCTACTTTGTCTGATCAGAATTCACTGCACTTGAACTTTGCTATTAGTGATACCTTCCCTGATTCAGTTCTTGAAATTGCATGGGGCATTAGTAAATGTCCTTTCCCCTTGCTATTCATTCTTTAATTATGCATGAACTTTGTCTCACCTACTCTTACTTTTGGATTTTTTCTCTTGACAATCTAGTCATCCTCCTCACATGTCTCTGTCCTCACTTTAACTTCATCTAACTTTAATTCCTATAGCTTACATTTTTTTTCAGCCCCCAGTTCTATTTCCAGTATTGATCATTCTCCTGAATTTTAAACTTAAGTGCTTCACTGCATAATCCCTTATGAATATCTCCAAAGCATCCCCAATTTGGTACATTTAAAAAGAGATTGAAATTCTAACATTTGGGTTCAGAACACCAAATTCAGGATTCTGACATTTAATGAGACAGGATACACAGTATTTGACTTCAGTTTACTCATAAAATACAATATTAACTTTCCACTCCATCAACATATTTATACACTCAACATCTCTACTCACCTAGATTATTCCAGTAACACCCTAGTTGATTTCCCTACCTCCACCTTTACTTCAATACAATCTGCTCTCAAAACAGTAGCCAAATCGATCCTTTGAAGCAGTAAATCAGACTGTGTCACTCTGCTCAGAATCTTCCAGTTGTCTCCATCTTGATTTTTAAGTAACCAAGTCTTCATCTACAGCTCCAACCCCATACTCTCTCATCTTGCCTCTTCCTAAATTCTCTTTTTATCCCACCACACTGACCTCTTTAGAGTCTCTTCTATTTTCTGTGCAAATCCTTGTGTTGGTCCTTAGCCCATGATCTTTAACACATGGTCTTTTACTCAAATGGATATCACTCTGACACTTTATAAGCCTCTATTCTCACTATGATACATTCTCTGAAACATATTTTCTGGCCATCTTGTGTAAATTGTGCTTAAGGACTGATCTGCATCTTTTTATCTCCATCTTCCATTTACTTTTCTCCATAGAGTTTTTCTTCCAATATACTATACAGTTGACTCATTTATTTTGTTTTGCTTTTGCCCCATTGTAATAAAAGCTCCATAACAGCAGGAATTCTGCCTATTATTTTTTGTCATGTTTCTCAATGCTAAAAAATAATAGAAGTTCAATAATATTTGTGGCATAAATAAATGACCAAATGAAGATATGGAGGTAGAAGTGCTTCTTGATAGCTATCATTATAAAATATCATTCCCTTTATGATTCCTTCTATTATCTTTCCAATTCACACCATGATATCACTCAGATCCTTGTGTACATACCCTTGTAGTCTTTGTGTTTTCCTCTCTGTATGTTCTATCCTGGTTTTGAGACACCATCTAATCATTTTTAAGGCTATTTACTTGGAGAACTCTTTAAGCCTTTTAAACATTTTTACCAATTGTTAACTCTTACATTACATCGTCTGGAACAAACTCTTCAGCTGAGTCCTCACCTATATAGCCCAATCATCTTCAACTAGAGTTCTCTAGTTATCTATAGATATCTACTTATATCTGTAGATGAAAGATTCTTTTCTGTGTGTCTTTGTGTGATATATTATTGAAAGTCAGGCTCTTCAGGTATGGGGGACAGAAGAGTTTGACAAAAGGTCTAACATTATGTTAAAACTAAGACAATATTTAGTATGATACATTATTATTTTGTATATTGCTAGAGAAAATGTCAATTAAGCCATGGCCTAATCCTTCTAATCACTTAGAATTAAAAAAAAATATTTAGTGGTCTTGGGGATTGATACTATGGGGATTTACAACTGGCCTACTTCTCTGGACCATTCAATTTTTAATTTTCGGGTGATCTCACAAAGTTGTTCAGGCTGGCGTTGAACTTGCAATCCCCTTGCCTCAGCCACCCTCTAGTATGCCCAGCGTTTTGTCACTTAAAATGTTTCTTTGCTACTTATTGATAGGCTCACATAGACCTATTTAATGATGATTTTTATCTTATATTTGTATTGAGCTATATATCATACATATATAAAAAATTGCAAGTGAAATCAAAAGGTCAAGGCACTTGTAACATATTTTCACATTCAGAGGCATTCATTTATTCATATTAAAATAGTAAAAGAGTTATGTTTTCTAATGGACTTACAACATATGAATAAATATATGGTGAAAAACAGACATCTAATGAATTTACTAGGACTTAAGAAAAAGCTGCAAATCCCAAATGTTTCATTAACACCCGGAGGAAAATGACAGGTATTTCAGAAACAATCAACAGTAGAAAAGGGAAGTTAGGAAAAAGGAAAAGTTTTATGGAAATTTATCATCATTTTGGGTGTCTTGTGGCAAATGCTTCCCCCTTAGAAGTTAAGGGAAAAAAGTGAAGAAAATTCTGTGATGTAGGATGTCTAATTTGTGTAGACACATGAAGCCCGTATATTAAGATGGATAGTTAAGAACTAAATATTTAGAGATGAAGTTTAATTACAATATTTAACTCATTACTGATTTTTATTTTTCTGGGAGCAGAGAAAAAAACTAAAATTTCTCTGCTCAAAAGCTTCTGCTTTGATTCAACATGTTCTTCAAAACTCACTGGCTGGAACATCTATATGGCATATTTGATATGATAAAGCCTATAGTCATAAACACAAACAGAATTCTTAACTATTTTAAGAACAGATTGTGTGAACCTAGAATGAAGTCAAGTCTTTCAAAATAGTGTGCTTAAGCTGAGCAGCGAAAACTAAGAAAAATAATTGATTTTGCTTTGCTGCTGAATAGAAAATGTGGATCATACTCATGTACCTTTTAAGTATTGCTTTCTCACATTTCATCTTTGTACTGCTCTTGTGTTCATGTTCAGATCATTCATATTTTATTTTGAAACATTTTTCATTTTCAGATCAGCAGTCCTGTGATCCTGGTGATTTTCTTTGCCACGATCACGTGACTTGCGTCTCCCAGAGCTGGCTGTGTGATGGGGACCCCGACTGCCCTGATGATTCAGACGAGTCTTTAGATACCTGTGAGTAGAAAGGTTCCTGTGCCGTGTTCGGGTTTACCTTCCCTGTGAAACTAAATGTCAGTTGTTTTCACGGATGACTGCTGTTCTAGTTGATTCTTTTATTGTTGTTTCCAAACAACCTAAGAAACTTGAAAGTTTTTGTTTATGTTCTTTAAAATGAGTATGTGAGGGAGAGCATAAAATGCAGTTTTCTGGTAAGAATTATTTTATGAAAACACCAGGTTAATTGCTACAATGTGGTTATGTTAACACTGAAAAAAAAAAAGAAAGAAAGAAATTTTACTTGAAAGAAAGACCTTTAAAACATAGCAATAAAACGGACCTTCTCCAATAATTCATTTCACATATCTTTAGACAGAAATGAAGAAGGAATGTTAAGGAAATCAAACTTTAACTCTCACGATATTTCTATCAGTATATAAAAGTACAATACAACTTTCAAGTCTGTTTTCTTTTTTACATGAAAACAGAAATTTTATCCATTCTTATTGTGATGACTTTTGCTCCCATATGGGATCCAGAAACATTTGGTAAATGTAGATCCTAACTGGACTTGTACCACCATAACCTGGAGACTACTTAGGGTTTTGCCCGCATTGGAAATAACACTACGACAAAATTATAAACACATAATATCACCATAGATAAATATGTCACAGTTCTTTAATGTTTACCTATTCTTTGGAATATGAATAATTCTCTGAATTTTCATATGGCTATTTCTAACAATTCCACTATCAGTTTGTGTTCCTCCTATGACCAGATATGCATACATCTCATTATCATCCCCCAGAGTAACTACATAGTTCTGTGAGGTCAAAGTGAAGAGGAAAACCCATCATCATTATTGCTTGATTTTGTAGAGAAAACAATTATTGGCTCTATTTTTCATTTTTGTCTACTTGTATAGAAGTTTTATAGACAAGATATTTGATAAATACCTTGCCATAAGGAAACAGGCAATGTTCGTTAATTTTCTTTAAATTTTAAATTTTTTCTTTGAATTTTCTTTAAAGTTTTTAAACACTTAAGTATTTAAATAATTATATTAATTGCTTCTCTTTACCTTGAGCCAATTACTTCTTCCATAGGATAAGTTGTAGTTATTTACAACATTTATAGTTTTTTTTTTTTTTACCAATTTCTCCAGCTTAATTCTGGAAACCTTCCCTAGGCTCCTTATACCACAGATCTGATTCTGGATATAATAAGAGGAAAAAACAATAAAATTAAAAATTATTAGAAAAATCCTAATGGATAAAACAAATTTTATAAATTCATAATGAATGTTATTTGGATATAAAGTAATGAATGTCTCCTAGATGCTATGAATGAAACATAAAAACATTATTCTAAGAAAAGGGGTTAGTAAAAAATTAAAGAGAGAGAGAGAGCATATTTTATGATTTCATTTATATGAAAGATCTCATGTAGGCAAATTTGTAGAACAGAATGTGGAGCAGTGGTTAGAAAAGGAATGGGGAATGATTTAATAAATATGAGGTTTTGGAGGGAGGAAGAAAAATCTCTAAAATTAGGTTGCAGTGATTTTTGCACAACTCTTACTTTATTCAAAAACATGAATATATATATATATATCTTAAGCAGGTATATTTTATGGAATATACATTATATCTTCATAGTGTGTGAAAAATGGAGATTTCCAATATTGTGTTTATGGGTGTAGGTGGTAAAGAAATGTGAGAAGACAAAAATAATCAGGAATTTGGCCATGAATTATATAAGTAATGGGACCATATTCAGCAGAATAACCCTTTTTAAGCCTTAGCTCCTCCTTATTCAAGTGGTATCTAAGAATTCTCTCTTTATTAGCTCCAAGGAGGAGATGACACCGTATACTCAGAGTAACTTCAAACACTGCAAAAGTATAGTGTAGCTTTGCCCTCTGCCCAGATAATCCTATCAATTCTGTGATTGGGAAAAAAGAACAGAGGCATGAGATACATTTGTGAAATCTGTTTGTGAGAAGGTCAGGTTGAAGGGGAATACTTTGCACCTCTGACTGGCATTTAGCAAAAGGATAGAGAAACGGCAGCATAATATATGTAGGTGAATCACCTTCACGCATGTGGAAAAAAGATAGAGGACAGTAATGTTGCCTTTGTGCTAAACAGGGGGACCGTAGGAGAATCAGGCAGAGTAGGTTTTGTGATCTAGAGGCGGCATAAGAAACTATGTAGTCAATGCAGTCACCTAACAAAGATAGAGAAATAGCTATTATTCTACTCCAAACTGTATAGCAGTTTAGATTTATACTGAATTAACTTCTTCCAGATAAATGGTTTCAGTCAGTATTAACTGAAATATGGACAAGCATAGAGAAAAAAGCTGTATGAAAAATATTAGACTTTTCAAATTCAAATTCTTCAATCCAGATGTTGACAATTACCATTATCTCTAATCACAGAGCTTTGTAATGTGTTACTTTATGATATTCATACGCACTTATCACTGAGCTGTACAAAATAATTGCATAATTTTATAATTGCATAAATGTATACATTTGATATGAAAGATAAGTACTAAAAATGGGAAACTTTGAAGAATGATTGTTATGAAGGGTAATTTTATACGAACAAAAGTATATTATCATCTTTGATTTGAAGATAAAGGATGTTGTATCTACAAATATTAGAGGAAACCAGCTGATGAAATGTATTTATTGTCACAAATTGTACTTAGCCTTTAAAATGAAAGGAAAGACCAATCCAGCCTAGAATTTATTATGACACTGTAAAAGCTCTGAAGAGACAACATTCTAAAAAGAAATAAATGGACATTGTTGGAGAAGAGGAAAAGCTTTATTTGTGAAACACTGATGACTGTGAAGCGTTAGAAGAAAACATACATGCAGAAAGACAAGAAACCCTATACATTAAAGGAACTGAGTATTTTCCTCCTCTCTGTGTGGCTTTAGGAGTGTTTTCTAGGATCCCTGAGGTAGATCTCTTTCACTCACAGCAATATACTCAGAATTTTCTTTTCTGAGGTTGATCTGCCACTAAGCTAATTGCACGTAGGGGTGAATTATCTGAAATATGAAATTGGAAAATTTTAGTGATTTGTAACCTTATTATTGAGTAGGAGAACTTATTTGTGGCCATTAAAATGAAAGTTTTTATTGCTGTACATTCTTTGAAATATTTTTTAAGTCGTCTAAACAATGGTCAGCACTGTCTTTAGGTTTCATGAGACAATGAGAATAGAAAATCAGGAAAATTCCCATGTTTCTATTCATTGCTTTCAACCCACGGTTGTTGGTTGGTGTTGCGTACAGCCAGAAGGACAGTAAGTACTGGAAATGGTTATGTGTGAAGTAAAAGCTGGTTGCCATCTGTGGTAAGGAAGTCCTTCTAGAAAGGCACTTTTATTCTGAGGTATTCAAAATTTAATTCTTTACAGGATTATTCTTTGGAATGCTTAATGACGCTTCCTCTCAGTTTCAGCAGATGTAGATATTTCCTGTGAATCTCATCTTATTATACTTTAATAAGTATAATATTTCATTTTTAAGTCAGGATGGTATTAACTATGCTGTTTGTCCTTTTTCCCTATTATCTTGCACTATCACCTTCCAAAGAACCATTTAAAGAATTCTTCAGTTACAGATCATGTTTTGTACAAAATGACTCATGGCTAACATAGGAGAATTAAAAATGGACTTGAAGAGGAAATGGCGGGGGGTGTGTGTTTGTGTAACATTTACAACCTGGATAGCTGTTAGAATTTTTGCATTGAACTTATGTTGTTTTATCCTTCTTCAAAGTTCAGCAAAATTTCTGTAAAAGAACAGATAGTAAATGTTTAGGTTTTCCAGGTCCAGAGGGTCTATATTGCATATTGTATATTGATTTATAAAGGGTCTAGATTGTATATTGTATATTGATTTATAAAAATGCTTTAAAAATAGAAAAAAAATCTCATAGCGTATAGTCTTTATAAAAGTGGGCCCCAGGTCGAATATGATCAGCAGACTATAGTTTTCAAAATCCCTGTTGAAGTGTCAAATCTAAACCATATCTGCTAATACTTGTGGAGAAAGATCTGTGCCCAGGTACTTATGCTGCCTGGAACAACACAACCCCACACAGTGAAGTGTGTGTTGCCTAGAGCTGTGCCTGCAACCACCACTCATGGTATCAGACTGAGGCAATATGGTTTTTTGAAATCTGTTTTTTTCCTTCTATTTTTACAGTCTTTATTGTTTAAGATTAGATATGACTGTATTTTTAATAGCTTGACTAAATGGGGGTTTACTTTTCTCAGACAGAAAGTTACAAAAGTGGCCGATGCAGAATTGACATGGATCCAGAATAACACCAGTTTTCTTCTGATTTCTGTTCTGCCTTCCTTTGTATGTAGTTATCATGCAGCACTCATCACAAGATGGCTAGTCAACCTTCCCTAGTTCCACTTCAGGCAGAAAGAAGGGAAAGAGAAAAAGAAACAGCAGGTGCCAGCTGAGCCTCTCTGTTTGTCAGGGAAGCTGACACAATACAGGTTTTTCACAATAATTAAATCCACTTTATTTGTGCTCAGATCTTCCTTATCAAAACTCACCATGTGGCACATGAGGCAATGGATATCCTAAATGAGGCCACCAATAAAGAAAAATTGGAGAAAAGATAACAACATAGACGAAGGCACTGGGCAGTATATGCCATAGTGTCCCTTCACCAATCTCCCTCCTTCTTTCTACCATCTCTCCACCTTTTGCAAGACAGGTGGTATGCACTGTGCATGATAAGGGATTCTGAATTCCAACTGCTTGATTCCAAATCTCAGTTTCTCCATGAATACCTTTTTTAAAAATTAACATAGTTAATTGTACAAAGAATAGGTTTCACCTTAACATTTCCATACACTCCAAAATTACCATTGCTCTTGAGCAACTAACCTATCCTTTCGATGCCTCCATTACTCTGTGCAATGGAGATGATAGTATCTGCCTCATGGTGAGTGCTTAGAGTAGACCTGTT